TATATATAAATATAATTATATAAATTATTTAATTATGATGCAGATACTGGTATAAACATATTTAGTGTTAGAACAATATATGTGTATTGACTTTTAATATAACGACGTAAATATTATTATGAATTTTTCTAAAAATTAATAATTGTGGAAGCATCAACCTGGGTTAAAATTAAATAGTGATATATTCTTTTTAACGTTAAACATACAATTAAATTTAATTTCATTGTATTATTATTTCATTTTAGATTGGTGCTGAAGAAATAATGTAGTACATTTATACTCTTTTTGTCTGATTATAAGAGAAAGACAAATACGAGAAATGCGAAAATAACAAAATATAATACATTAAACACAGAAAGCAATTTTATGTGCAAGCTCACAAGCAGATATTAAACGCCAACTTACATGATGGCCTGGCGCGCGTTGACAGAACTGCAGGTAATGTTTGACGGCCGCGTGGAGAGGATATTTTGTTAGTGCGAGTAAAGCAAGTATTGCATAACGACTGATAGGTAAAAACAATCAACTATTTTATGTGAGAGCCACATAAAATCCATAAAACATATAGGAACCAATATATTATTCTTAAAATTTAACACAAATTAACTCTGCTGGTCTGTTCGGATCCAATTAACTCAAAATGCAACTTATTTTTCTAATATTTTATTTAAAAACATGTTTCTCTAATAGCTGACGATTTATTCTGTTAATAATGAGATATGTTTTCGTCAAAACTTTGATTTTTTATCTTTTTTTAATCATATTGACTCAAACAATACAGTCGTAAGTAAATTTGAATAACCAACAGAATTAAAGATACGGGATAGCTAGGAAAAGAATATGTTCATCAAGTATATACAAGAAATTATGCACTTCTTTCAAAAGAAAGAATTAATGCAATTTATAATATACATTATAAATCCTGAAATCTTCCATGGGTTTATCTATAAATAGCTTCGTAAATATATGTACATGATGAAGAGCAAAATATATAAAACAATGAATTATATTTTACGTCATTTTTAAAAGAAGCGTTATATGATAAGCGTTATAACAATACTATGTTACATTAAGGAAAATATTCAAAATTTCAATAAATATTTATTTGAATAGTGCCAATTAAATATTTACTTACAATAAATAAATATTTATTTAATAAAAAGAAATGACAATTAAATTAAATTAATGATTTTCGTATTAAATAAAAATATATCTTCATGTTAAATAAATATTAGTTGGTACTATTTAAACAAACGAGTTATTAAAGTTTAGTATTTATCTTTTTTCAGTACAACAATCTTTATAAAACATTGTCATCCAAAATATATTGAAAACACGAAATAGAATAAATTCATGTTGGTAGACATATGAAGCAGGTTCTGAACAAGAAGCATACAACTATTTCGGCAGAGACGATTAAGAAAAGCCGAAACCGGAAGAAATGGAAGTTTTTTCATAGAATAGGGTAAAAGCGATTTTATATTCACAAAAATATCCTCCCAATCGATGTCTTAGAATCGATAATATTGGAAACATGTTGGCGATTATACATATTAACATCGAGAAGAAACAATCGCGAATAGTTTAATTAATCATTTTGACTTTGTTAGTCGCAATATTGAATTTTCACGATTCATAATTATGACTTAAATCTCTTTAATAATAGAACAATTTTCATTGCTTTCTCTTACAGTCTAAGAAATATTTAAAATATTGCGTCAATTGTTACCATGCAAGATGCTTCGTGAAGTTTTCCTAGCTTAGCTCGAATGAATGGCCTGAAAAATAATAAAATAGATTAGACGCTTAATTTAAAATAAATATGAGCACGTCATTATTTTCTTGGAAAGTAATAAAAAATTTAGCTGACCTTATAAGACGCCAAAGGAACATTTGAACCGGGATAGGCAAAGGATACTCCTGCGTTCCCCCGTCTACGGATCGCCGTTTATCCATGATTGCTTCAATATTACTAAAATGTTTTAATATCGCATATGAAGAGTAACTTAATTAATCCAGCGCGAGCGTGGTAATAATTAGAGTACAATTGTTGGTGCTGCCATCGCTACCACGTGTCTTACCCCGCAGAACAGATTCTTCCAACTTAAACCGCTTGTACGCTTACGTCTTGCACACACCCTTTGTAGAGTCAACAACACTCCATCAGCCAGAGTGGATCAATCCCCGATTGAGGAACGTCGTACTCACGCAAGAATCGAGAGTCAAAATAAAAACAATCTCGTCTTCCTATACAAAATTCACATGCTCTTCTCTCTCTTATGAATAAAATTCATTTCACGCCACTAAAAGTGCCGATTATCACGAAATATTATCATGTTGGACGCAGCTGCTGGAAAACGCCGATGCCGGGCATGACGTTGTTGAAGGGTAGCGCCGCACCGAGAAGAGAGAGTATCACGTGCCACTCGGCCTAGTAACACACTTCCGTCATTCCCTGTGGATGTCCTGCGCGACGCGGGTATGCACCCCGGCACCGGGATAGCGTGTAACTGAAGGGACGTGGTCTACGCGCCCACACGTCCTCACGGAAAGGATAGTGAATGCGCGTGCGACTCTCGGAAAATCCAATGCGCCGGTCGTTTCATCGATCAGCCCAGGAATCTGCTGCTGGACCACCCCTACGGGAGGCAAACCACCCCTCGCAGCGCGCCGCGTTGTACCGCGCCGCGCCACGTTCCCATCAACCTATTTACCCACCTAGTCCATCTAGCCATTTACTCGAGCAACACCTGATATAACGATGGGCGAGGCCATCTTCCTTGCGTGGAGCAATGACTGGCGAAGAACGCGCAATTTCTCATAATTTACCCTCCATTTGAGGGTGTGTATCGTTAGATTATGATAGATCAAGGATATACCAATTGATAATTTATTTTTCACGCTAAGGCAATATAGCTTTTGCATAAAGATTGCATTAAAGCTAAGGGGAGAAGAGAGGATGTAAAGTATATTTAATATTTAATATACGATAGTACGAAAGAAATAAAGAAGATATAAAAAATGACAGATATTTAAATGAGATCGAACATAGAACTAATATATTCTCAGATATCATATATTAAGACTGGATAACAAGTCTGCTTTAAAATTATCTCCTATTGTCCATCGTTGTTTCATCCCGTTGCGTAACATCTTCATCAAAAAAATGAATCTTGTATTTGAAAATATTGTTGAAGAATTAAAAAATTTAAGTAAATACAGATCTGAAAATTTTGTTGGATTAAAATAATCATATAGAACATAATGAAAAATGCTGTAAAAAGTTTTAACATTTTAATAAATAATTGAAGCGTTCTACATAATTACTTTGAGTAATTATAATAAAAATAGTCCAACAAAATTATTTTCAAATCTGTATCTGACTAAATTTTTAAATATTTCAGCAAAATCATTCTTCTCGTGCATTATCCTCATGTTAAGACGCTCTTCAGTGTATCTTTTGTGTTGAGAAAATTCTCGACATCCTTTAACGTCATATCTAACTTGAATATGATTTTTCGTGCATACGTTATTACTTCGTCTATTTTCAGAGTCTCTTCAAGGTTTATAGAACTGATTTCTATGCAAATTTCTATATATCATCTGCATTCTATTATCATCTGCATCGCCGCTTATTCTTTTTGCTTCTTCACTAATTTTCTAATGGATTTTTCTAATGGTAAACGTTGCGCCATAATTCTTTTTTACAAAGATGAAGAATTTCGATAAAATTTTCTCTCGAAAATTTTCTCAATTCATGTCTTTTTTTGTTGTTTTTGAGGATTTTATAATAAATTGGCAAAATCTCTCCCATTATGTTTTCATCATTCTTTTACTAATGCTTTCTTGTAAATAATTTGTCGCAATTTTTTGTAAAAATATCTGAAGATTTGTCGGAAGAAACAGGAGTAGTATTCTTGTAAAAAATCTTGACAAAATCTTGTTATAACTGTTTAAATTAAATGAGAAATCTTTCTTCGTATTTCTGATAATCGAACTAGAACATTTAAGTCATGTGTAGCTCGCCTCTATCGATTTTTTTGCATTACCGGAATGTCTAGCTTTCGCAATTTGAGCTCTGATATATCAAGCGATATCTAGAAAAGGTCTTAACAATTAATTAATTTTCGATCTCGAAAAATATCTTAATCTATATTATTTATCTCATTCTTATCCAGAGATTTTCTATTCAAAGATGACGAACTAAAGATCGTAGCATTATTTTTTCATCTTTACTCCAAGATAGTGCAATCCTCAAGAGAATTTCATATAATTAGGCTACATCTATTTGCAGGGAAACTAGCACATTCTCTCTATTATTATCTATTTTCAATAGTGTGGATAACGATTTTCATCTAAAGCTATTTGGAGTAAATGTCCCGATTCGTCGAACAAACAAAATCCTATATCACATTATGGATAATCTTGATTGTCATACAAGACGGAATCGTTCGTTTCTCGTGTAATCTAAGCGAGTATAACGTCTTTCTTGTAATTTCGAGAGAAGTTTTTTCGAGTTCGTTTTTTTTTCTTGTCTAATTCTGTAAATTGATCACGTGCCAAATATTTCACAATATCGACAACTGGATAAATATCTTCTGTGCTTTTCGAGTAATCGTTGTAAAGCTTGGAGTTTTACACGATTAGAACGTCGATATCTTGCCAACAAATCGATTTGCAATTTAGATTCACATGAGATCTTTCTCACGATTTCTTTCTTGTCAATATTACCAAGCTTTCATTGCATTTGAAGAGTCATGCTTACTACGATTATTTTGTGCAGCACTATTGCATTCATATTTTTTCTCTGTTTTAAAAATTTGCGAATTTTTTAATAGCTTTATTATACAGACAAATTTTATTTTTAATCATGATACTAGTATTGGTCTTTGCAACTATTATTAGCGAATTTATTATTATCAAACTTCGTTTGAATTTTCTTTTTATTATGAAAGCGCGTTCTTTAATCAGAAATAATTTCATTTCGTTCAATTCGTCAAATTTTATTTCATATTTTTAGTTTAATTAAGTACTTTAAATTCTTCTTTCTTGATTGCATGTTATTTATTAAATCTAGGGAATTTATTAAAATCTCTGACTGTTCATTATTCTAATCCTTATTAATACATGTAATATCGCGTTTTGCAATCTCACGACAATATCTGATTTAAAATATCCAAGATATTGAATAAAATTTTGTTTTTATTATTAGGATAAATTTTTAATTTTTCTTCTATAAAAATATCAAATATAAGAACGTCATCTTTTATGCAATAAACAAAGTACGGTGGGGATTAAAAATCACTAAATAATCGTGTGTGCACGATATCGAGTCTACGCTCGCAGAAATATAACAAGTGACTGTTTAGTGTCCCATCAGAAGCACGTAGAAGAGATTGCCTTTTGCGAGAATGCCTCAAATCATGGCAGAGGCGTTCGCGAGAGGATTGCTAGACAAGATAATGGTAGAAGTTCTGGACGTTATAGATCGCGATGCAGAGGATGGTAAGGTGCAAACTCGTCTGTATGTCTCATGAATGTAACAGCGGGTTGAATAGAGACGTTGTACGCGTACGATATTGTTCATTGATAAATATCGTTTCATGATGCTGTAACAGCATGGTTTTCAATTGCGATCGACATACGTTTCGCGAAGCTAATTATCTCTGTTAGAAGCAAATAACATATATACGTTAAATATTGTTATTAGAAAAATCCTGGGAACAGCACGTCACTGAGGAAACAGGCGATGCTCAACTGGAACATATACACGGTAGATCGCAAGCAAACGAATGTACACACATACATTATAGCAAAGCCGATGAAATAGAATTGATTGCAAAGATAGTTCGTGATTTGCGTGACATACGGATCGGAGATTCGCATTATGTTCTTCCGCCTTCATTGTTAACATTGGAAAAACAGGTAATTGGATACAACTTTCCAAGACATAATTCTATTATAATCAATTGTTGAGATTATAATTATGTACATAAGGAAAGAGAGGGGAAAGTAGGAAATAATAAAAATACAAAAGACTTCAAGTTATGATAAAATTTTTAATAATATAATATCAAATTGTTTTATAAGTATACTATTTTTTTAAGTCTTCAAATTCTAATTTATTTCTAGAAAAACTTGATACTGTGTTAGCTTCAATAATTCTATCAATTTGATCAAATAAAATTACAATCTTTTTCGAAAATATAAAGTAAATATATTTTTTAAAATGTGCTTTTAATTGACTTTAATTAAATTAACGGTTGTGAAAATTAATTATAACGTAAAAATAATTAAATTTAACATTCAATGTCGGATTTTCGCATGTTTATTTTATCACAGACGGTTCTAGTTGAATCGCATGGCCGTAATTGCAGAATATTCACGTACAAGAGGTCTTGCACTTGCAGTTCTCTAGTATCACACCTGTGTCACATTAATTCCATGCACGACTATTATTTTTTGCCCGTGTGTTAGAATGAGAAGATCTACTCACGAGACACACGCTTGTCTTTGCTTGAACAGGTGAAATACGCCACGTGCAACGTCGACGATGCACCACTTATAAATAATCCAGCAACCGACATAGCCGAAACTCAACGCACAACCCGAGGTCAAGGCGACACGCACCAGATTAACGCGACAATTCTCGAATCACTGACTGAATCGACGGAACCGGTGAAGTTGATTCGAAAGAAGAAGGAAGGAGAAGCGATTAACGAGGCGACCAACGTGTCAGTTGGTTTATTACAACAATTGATCGAAGATTTAGAGAACAAAACAATCTCGACTTGCTCTAAGGACGATGCCCCTTTAGACTCGGTCAGTAAGGAGTGCATTGCAGTTTGGGAGGAGAAAGAAGAGCAATTTATTAGGACTATTGAGGGCAATGTTGGCAGCAGACATGAGACTACAACGGGGACTCTTCAAGGTAGCGAATCAAACAGTCGCTTCCGCATTATCAAAAAGCACGATAAAGAACTGAGGTCTCACTCAAGTCAATATGCAGCGTCCACCTCGAGGGAAGCTGATCTCGAAGAAGTTCAGATCGAGAAACGTGAATCGAATTCGTTATCGACATTGAAATCATCGTGCGATGATGACAAGAAGACCGTAGATCAGATACTACCTATCGACGACG